CCCTGCATCAGTGGAAAAATGGAACCGGCCTGTGTTGTAGTGGAAAGATGAGAACGTGGAAAACCCTTAGAACCAGGGTGTGACACACACACACACACACCTTCCCCCTCCTCGTACATCTGCAGGATTTGCTCCCATTGCCGGCAGCGCCTCAGCACAACCTCAGTCGGACAATATGCCAACAAACGCTCTGTGCAAGACTACTGGGCGTGTCCGCTGTTGCGCTGTGTTGCACTTCAACATGCCTATGTTCTGCAAGTGCAGTTTTTTGAGCGCCACGAAGAACACTGATCAAACATTGAGAATAGTCAAGACGTGGTTTGCAAACTAATTAATCTAAAGGAAGTGTTTGCACTTGTTGAGCTACCTTGTCGCTGGTCCACATCGCGCCTGCAAAGTGTTGACGCAGGTATCGTCCATTGCGGCCACCACGTTCTTTTCAGCCGCAATGCCTGTGCAAGCCGTGTATGTTAGATCATCTACATCATTCTACATGGTGGCGGGGCACAGTGGCTGTCAAATTGGACTGAACATGAAGGACAACTCCAAACGCCAAGCCTGCCGTCACCGTATCTTGGCAAAGCCGAATGGCCTGGCAACAGCAAACAAGGAATGGCCTACCGGCTAATGCCAGGAACTCTGCTTCAAGTGCAGGGTTGTCGCCTTCTCAGAAGTGGGTCTGGGTTGTCGCCTTCTCATTTATTCTATCAGCAGATCGGTACAGTACGTACGTTCCTCTGTTTCCTCAGAAAGTCCACTGGAGGCCCCCAGACAACATGATAGTAGGACATGGAGCTCACCAGGATCTGATAAACCCAAGTAATTAAACCTGTTGCTGAGGTCCTTAAGACAAAAAGTTGAACTAACACCAAAGAATTCCCTGAAATTTGAAGGATCTTCACTTTGAACGATCACGTTTTAACATCTCCTCATGACCTGTCCACTTGGACACAATCGACCTCATCTCGGCGGCCGCAGCGCTCCAATGCAACGGCATGTAGTGCGCGGACCAACCTGGGGAGACCCGAACCGGCCCGAAGGGATGCTTGAGACAATCATGGATGTCAATCTTTCGTCTCCCAATACTGTTGATGGACGAAATCCTGTACCAGCTCACCACTTTACCCTGGCAGGATTTTGGACCTTCAACTTGTTTTAATGTTCTCACTGTGGTGGCCGCAATGTTAACGAGGGAGAACGGGGGCAGCAAGAAAACTGTGCGCAAAGTGGTGCAGGATTTTGTCCATCAACAGTAGCAATGGCCTCCACCCTAGTAGCGATAGCCTCCAACCTAATTAATAGCTTCGGAAACCCTTCTCCCATAATAGAGATAGATGACACTTTGTGACCTGGATGTTTCCACAAGAACTTCGTTTGTTTGCCCTGTTTGTGAGAAGGCATCTCTGACACATGCGCTACACCTCAACCAATGGATGCCCAATGATGCCCAGTATGCCCACGTTGGTGCATCTACAGTAATTGTTTCCGAGATACGAGTTGGCAGGCTGTTTCTGCAAGAGGGTGGTGCAAAGTTTGCAAGCCTTGGCAGCAGCTGAGGAAAGGCTAACATTGCAAACAAATCGCTCAATGATTTTGAGATAGCTGGAGAAACTGCCTTCTTCCTTCAGTTCTAGGCTTTATATATATATAATGTGCTACAAAGTATTATTGATCTACAATGCGACTTGGAGCTACGATCAGGAAGATCCGACGGCACAGGGACGGCCAAGAAACCAAAACATCTGCCAATTTTCATGCAGCTCGGATTGCCTCAAGATTCTTTCTTGAAAGCACCAAGACCAATTGACATCAAATTCGCCCAGAACACGTCTATATTGTGCAGACATGTCGAGACATGGGCTTTTACGGCGATGGGCCAAGTTCAAACACATGACCTGGTTCATCCGTCATATTCGCCCTCTTCCTCATCGAACTCACCCTCCTCTTCGGCTGTAGCATCCTGGTACTGCTGGTACTCCGAGACCAAGTCATTCATGTTTGACTCCGCCTCAGTGAACTCCATCTCGTCCATACCCTCGCCTGTGTACCAATGCAAGAAGGCCTTGCGGCGGAACATGGCAGTGAAGTACTCTGCCACCCGCTTGAACATCTCTTGGATAGCGGTCGAATTGCCGGCGAAGGCCACTGCCATCTTGAGCCCTTTTGGTGGGATGTCGCAAACGGAGGCCTTGATGTTGTTCGGAATCCATTCAACAAAGTAGGAAGAATTTTTGTTCTGAACATTGAGCATCTGTTCGTCCACCTGCAAAAATGACCGAAAGCGAGGCAAACCAGCAAACATCAGCAAACAAACCACGCTGGAAACAAGTGATTGCCTAGGACTTCCTGCACGGGTATAAGTGGAGTAGGGGTGTATAGGGTTGTCCGTTGGTGCCCCCTTGGAAGTAGCTGCATTCACTTAAACATTTACTTAATGATCGATCTAAAAAAACAGGTTGATTTTTTGTTTTTTGAGTTGCACGCTCCGCACATACACCACCACCACACAACAAACATACGCAGAGCTACACCTCGATGTGTTGTTGTCCAACGCACGAGGGTCGCACCAATAAGACAATGAAAATGTGTTTGTCCAGAAACCTCCAACGCCTTCAAATCACAGTGCTGCGTGCGCAAAACGGAGATGTCGGGAGGCGCTAAGAGCAGCCCAGGGGTGGAGGATCAAAAGAAACACAAACAAGGATCAAAAACAAAATCCGCCCACACCGCTTGTCGGTGCAGGGCGTGCTTTGGGGCTCTCGAGCTCTGCACTTTAGCCAAAACATCCTATGCAAATAGCTCTGCTAGGGGGGGGCTTCTTTTTCGGCACGTGCACAGCTATGGTTGGGCTGCAGGGCCACTGGGGAGAGCGTTTTGGAGGTACATTTTTGGATTATTTTTCGTCACGTCGTGCTTGCAGGGCCACTGGGGAGAGCGTTTAGGAGGAGTTTTTGTGTTTTGGGCTGGTTGCTGCGTTGATTCTTGCTCGGCTGCAAGGCCACTGGGGAGAGCGTTTTGGAGGTGTATTTTTGGGTGGCTTTTGGCAATGCCTAAGTTGTATCACCATTATGGGCCCCAAGGTAGACGAAGTTGGCCCCAAGATGGCTCCAACGCAGCCGTAAGACAGCCAACCTGGCGCCTAACTTCGGATGTTCGTGCGCGGTGTGGGCGGCTGTCGACGCGAAGCGTCTTGAATAAATTCAATAGATCAAAAGAAAAACAAACAGGGATCAACAACAAAACAAAGAATTGCGATGTTGCAATAAAAACAAGGCACAAAAGAGGATCAACATAAAAACAAACAAGGATCAACAAATAAATAAGAGGTAGGTAGGCAGGTAGGCAGGCAGGGAGGTAGGTAGGTAAGTAGGTAGTCGTAGTAGTGGTGGTAGTGGTGGTAGTGGTGGTCGTAGTAGTAGTAGTAGTAGTAGTAGTAGTAGTAGTAGTAGTAGTAGT